TAAAAGGATGGAAAAAAGGTAGGAGAAAAGAAAAAAATACAAGGAATGTAAGAACATAAGGAAAGAAGGATTGGCACTAGAAAACCAGGAAGGACACGAGGAAGCAAAGAAAGAACACAGGAAATGAAATTTGGAGTGATGGAGGGTGGGAATAAGGGGACGAGAAAGGAGAAAAAGAAGGAGGTTTGACAGAAAGACATAACTTGTAGACGATAGAAAAAGGTGACAAAGTTTGGAAAAAATGTTCATGCTCTTCTTCCAGATTTAACAGGAGCCCAGCTCAGAGTTCAGGGTTAAAAATAAGCCTCTGTGTTTGGCTGTGTGTTCCTGTTAGGCCTCTGGTGTACACTGTGTCCGCCCTCCTGCCCACCGCCTACATCATCGGACTGATATTCACTCTGAAGACGCATTCGCACATTTACAACATCCATGTTGGAGAAGGGCAGGGTGAGACTCGCACACGACTTCATTGTTACAGTTCAGGGCAGAGCTTTACACACACGCGTAGTTTTGAATAATGTGTTTGAGACGTACTGTTAATCAATTGTTTGTATGGATTTAGACAGACTATCAAAGAAGCTTGATGTTAGCCAGACAAAAAGTTCTGCGGTCTGTTGGGGATCGTGCAGGGAAACTCATCTGTGTCCTCGTTTAGAGATTGAAAAATTTGGATGTCATCCTTCTTACTTAATATCCCTTACTGTTTGTACCTCTGGGAGCAAAACAGCCCCACAGCATGATCCTCCCACCTCTGTGCTCGACAGTTTGGAAAGACATACTTTGTGTCATTGAGACCAAATAGTTCAGTCATTGTCTCGTTTGAGGTTAAAACCTTTTTCCAGAATAAGCTTGGTTTGTCCATGTAGGCAGTGGGAAGATGTTAGTTTTGACGCAAAAGCTTCTTCTTCAGTCTGGTGTTCAGGTGTGTTTTGGATTAAGATGGGCTTGATCTCTGGCGATTCGTACATTTTCCTTGTTCGTCAGTGATAGCAGGTTTTGATAAGATGGTTGAAACTTTGATACAGGTGGATGTTCTCAAGCTTCCCCCAAAAAATGGTTTGGAATGGATAAAAAAAAAACAAAAAAACGTAACGATAAGCTTCTGGAAGGTCTTGACTTTAACAACGCTGAGGTCAAACTCACAGGGAAGAACTAGAAAATAAATGAAGCCCCAAATCAACGTCAAATCCAGTCCGGTTTACAGTAAACCCTGATGTTCACACTAGAATTTGTGTCTGATCAGAGATCGGTCATCAGGGGACGGTGGTCCACTGGTCCCGCTGGAGGTCTCTGCTCATCCTCATCGCAGCCACCGTTCTTACGTCCGCCTGCGCCGACCTCGCCACCGAGCACATCCAGCCCATTCTCAACCAGCCCAACGTCTCTCAGGTCGGCCTCCCGCCATCTGAGCATGCTCAGACTCTCTCCTGACTGTGCTCACCCTCCCTACATCTTTCCTCCCGCAGTACTTCATCGGCGTGACGGTTCTCGCTATGATCCCCGAGATCCCAGAGATTGTTAACGGGATCCAGTTCGCACTCCAGAACAACATCAGCTTAAGGTCGCTTGAGTTGTACTAGAAAAACTTAGAGGCTGGGGTCCTTGTCAAACGTTGTTTTTGACTAAAGTCCCAGAGCGTTAGAGCCCCAGTTAAACGATATTTAACTGAAGTCCTAAAAGGAGTGTGGGTTTTAATGTTTTTATCTTTTTTTTTTTAAATCTTGTTCAAAATGTCTCTCACTGTTTTTTTCAATGTCTCATGCTGTTTTTATTTTAATTATGTGAAGCACTTTGAAATGCCTTCCTGCTGAAATGTGCTATACAAATAAAATTTGATTGATTGATTGGTAGAGATGGAAAGCTACAAACTGGTTTCCATTCCTTACATTTGCTGTGTTTCCTCCCCAGTTTGGAGGTTGGAAGCTGCATAGCTGTGCAGGTCTGCATGCTGCAGATTCCAATACTGGTCTTTTTTAATGCCTTCTGTGTACGTCACATTCCTCCCTCTTCTTATAATTGGTTAATAAAAATTTAAACTGATAACCTGTAATGCTTTGTTTTTCAATAGGACGTGGGCTTCGTGCTGCTCTTCAGCGATCAGCACTTGTGGGCCAGCATTTTCAGTGTCATTCTGGTCAACTACATCTTCATGGATGGCAAGTCGGATTATTTCCAGGGTGAGTCCTGACCAACTGGATGCTTACAAAATGAAACAACACAGATGAGAGGTGTTGGTAGTTATTCTGAATGATTGCTGATTCCAGCCTTTAAGTGTTAAAACTGCAGGTTCAGTACAAATGTTACATAAACAGGACAGGAGATCATATGAAGATAAAACATGTTAAAATCACTTTAGAGTTGTTTTGATATTCCCACTGCCTGATGTTGTACCTGAATGCAGCATGTGCAGGTGTTAGAAAATCCCCCCTCATCATCACCGATTCCTTAGATTTGCATCTCACATGTTGCAAATATGAGGTGCAACATCTCACATTGCATCTCATATTTGAGATGCAAATGTGAGATGCAGTAGTTTGGTAGTTAGTAGTTTGGGCTCAGAGTTAGCCGGTTGCTCTGACCTGGGGATCTGGTTCTGCGCTGCAGCTGCATGAAGAACTTTAATGTTCCCAATTGAGCTTCTCAAGTTTCATTTTTATCATTGCTTTTTAAAGTTAGCTTGACACTTAGACATTCTGACTGTGTTCGGGTGTAAAACAATCCTGCATTCATTTGTTTGTACCGGATATTTTTGATACAACTATATTACCTTTATAATATAGTTATTATAGATCAAACTCGAGGCCCGTGGGCCAAATCGTGCCCGCCATAGGTTTTTATGTGGCCCTGTTATTAATCAAATCAAAGCTGTTTTTATCTGCTTACTGCCAAATTATACCAATCATTTCCTACAGTTTCTTGAGAAATTTCATGGAAATTTACGCAAAATCAACAAAGCCCCACACTTTTGAGTTTATTGCAGATTTTTCTCAAAACATTTCAAAAATGTATCTAATTTTAAGAATTTGTTGATATTTTAGCAGCTTGTGTTTATCAGGACATTCTGGCACAACCGGCCCTTTAAGAGCATTCAGGTTCTTGATTTGGCCCAAGACAAAAATGAGTTTGACACCGATGTTGTAGAGGAAATGTCTCAGCAGCTTTAGTTTATTCCCACTGTGAAAGCAACCTTTGTGTCTCTGAAATCTCACAGTATATGTTACTTTTATTTTTTTTACTTCTGATCATTTTTGTTTCTTCAGGTACTGCCCTGGTGGTCGTCTACCTCATCCTCCTGGCTTTGTATTACTTTGCTCCGTCTCCGTCTGGCTGCTGAGAACAGAACCGAGTTTCATCTCAATTAGCACTTTTTTTAAAATATGAAGGACTCAAAATGAGCAAATATCAGTTACACAGAATCTCTGTGGGTTTTTTAGTGTTGATGGGTGAAACCTTGAAGGAAATCTGAAGCATTTTCTCCATGCAAACAAAATTAACTCAGGTAGGTGCTACTAAATGCACAATTATAACTTGTGAACAATATTGATAGATGTGTAATATACAGGCTAACTGAGTTGATTTATTTTAAATAAATATTCCCTTTTAAAAATATGAAGGACTAAGAAGTAGTATTTTCAAACTGGTACAAAATACATATTTAAAGCATTTCTAGAAAGGATTGTGAAAGTTTGTAAAAGTGAATCTCAATAAAAGTTAATTTATGTGATTTACAATAATTATAACACAGAGCAATTTATTTTTGTTAAATTTTATGATTTGGTTAAAATTTAAGTGTCCAGAAAACAGGAATTGCAAAAAAAGGGCTTTGAATAATCAAATTTAAACTGTTTGAAATATCTCCTTTTCATTGTTAACAAGATGAATAAGTTTTTCTATTTGAGTTGAATAAGTTTTATTACACAGTTGATGAGGATGAACCTGCGTACTACTGGAATCCGCTTGAGCTTGAGCAGAAATAAAACACATCTTCACAAGGTTTCTTAAAAACAAAAAAAAACACAGCTGCCTGTTTTTACGGTTTGCACAGACCGGAGAACAAGAGTTACAAAACGATGCAGCCATATTTTCCTCTGAGGAAACATTCACTTGTTCCCCAGAGGATTCTGTACAAAGCGACATGCAGACCATATGCAAGCAGAACATTTCACTTTCACAGACAGAATTAAAACTTAATCAGGCTGATACATTTGAGCTTCAAGCATAAATAAGGCCACAAAATCTCAAAAAAAAAAAAGAAAAAAAAAAGAAAGAAGTTAACGATTCAAAAATCAACAGTAACAGTTTTGGTGACAAATAAAAGGCCCGTCTGGAAACATCAACACAGTATCGCCCAATTAACTCCAAGTTTTCCTATGTTTGGTTTGCAGAGCACTTCACACTTGTTACAGTTTTTAATATCCTGAGTACGTCACACACACTGACGAGGACTGCAGAATTACACAGCAGCTTAAGATACCAACACCACCTAACGAGTGACTGAACATAAAAAGTACAGCGTGCTACAATGCTAAAACTGGAAATGGGATCAGGAAAAAAAAAAAAATAGGCAACCGATACAGGACACGTCGTCACCAGTTGATGAAATGAGCAGCACAGTGTTTAAAATAAATAATTAAAAAGTTTATGCTGGAGTTCCTCCTGAGGAACCAGGAACAGCATCTGAAGGCTTGGTTCAAAAATAAATTCATATCCTTTCTGAAAACACAAGTAAAGTTTGAATGATCTGCAGTTTGAGGGATGAAAAGGCACCAAATGCATCAAGGAAAATAACAGAGAAATGTGGTGGATATCATGTGCAAATTCACGACCAAGATCCTGGGTTCCCATTTCCACATCTGAAAAATGTAACAGAAAACTAACAGAAAAAAAATAAAATAAGTTTCCAGACTTTTTTTTTACTAGTTTTTAAAATATCAGAAAATACAATTTTTTAAAAAAAAAAAAAGCCAAGGTATTTCTTGAAATCTTTATTTTGTCTTAGATTTTCCCCATCACTAATTGAATGATTGTTAGCAACTCAAAAATTTTGATTTTCCATTTGAGGGTTTAAGTAAACAAACTCTTAAAGTAGGTCAGGTTTAGGCATAACAGAATGAAGTGTAAAAGTTCACAAATTGTGTTTTAAAGAACTACATTTAGTCCCAAATTGGTTGCTTTAAAAGTGGTGGAATAGCCCTTTACTCCACTACTGAAGCTTTGCTTTGTAATTAAAAACATTCAGCAGAAAAATCTGGAAATTTGAGTCTGGAAATGTGTGGACTTTTGTACAGGAAGCTGCGTAGGAACCCAGAGGAAATGAAATGGTTGTAGAGGCACCAGAAGTTTCACAGTGAGCCTTTTAAAAAGAGGCTGCTGGGTTTTCCTCTGATCACAGGAGCAAAACGTTGTGAATGAACGGATCATTTTTCAGTTTGAAATGCTCAATGGCAAAACACATCATAGCATCTTAAATAACCGCCCCAGTTCGACGTCTTTGAAGGCATCTCAGATTTGTGTTCAGTGGAGAATTATTTACTGACAATTGGTTCCTAACCAAGCACGTATAAACCAGTTGCAGATTTGATCTGCTGGAAAATGTGGTCACAGTGAGGAATCTCATCAGATTTAGCAATGCAGCTGGGTGCAGAAAACGGCAAAATGTTCACTCACACTGCCTGCAGCCATATTTAGTTTGTCTGAACTGTTTTTTTTTTTTGTATTTACCTTAATATTTTACACATTTCTGGGACACAGAAAGGAACGTGCACAGAGGTTTTAAATTACAAGTCAAGTTCTACATGTGCACCACTTCACTGCCTTGGATGGACATTTCAATTTCTAACAGAAAAGAACGACGGCAAAAAACAAAGTATTTTCCCAGCTAACGTCACCAAGCTGTCTTTGACCTACTTACAACCAACTTTAGTGTCAGTCTCCGTCCTGCCCCGGTTGGTTGGTCTGTGTGTTCAGCCTATTTGAGCCTCTGAATTAGTGAATGTGTCAGTCCCAGGCTCAGCAGCTGAAGGGCGGACAGCTGGGTTAGGTGAGGGAACAATTTCAACAGCTTCTCCCAGGTCATTTCCAGCAGACTGGGCACCACCAGCCACACTTTATACAGAGAGGCAGTCCTTTGGTTCCCAGACATGTTGACAACACCGCCGTGGATGTACATGCAGCCGGCCTGAAGCAGCAACAACATTAAAAACATTAAACCAGTGGATGGACAATACAGAAGCTCTGCAGATACTGACCTCATGAAAACCACATGTTAGAGGTTTAGCTGACCAGCTGCTACTCTGGAGAAGAATTACAACGCTATCCAGTTTCCTCCATTTTAGGGCTTAAACAATTAATCTGATTAATTGTGTTGAATCAATATTTGAAATAATTGCCAATTAATTTAGTAATCAATCATTAACTGAAGTAGATCCATTGACTTTCAACAGATACTCCATATAATGAAATACTGTTTTCATTATAATTGACCGTTTCTTCAGTAATCCATATATTTCACATGTAAATATCTTTTTATATACTTCTGGTTTGACTGAACTTTAAAGCTCTTTCATTAATGTAAATTTGGCATTTCTCGACTTTTTTTTTTAAATCATGAAACTAATGCAAATGTGTCCCTTTTTTTCAATCAAAATGGGTCATAAATTAGATCAGCAGATAACAAGAAGGCTAAGTAAAGCGAAGGTGACCCATTATATTATTTTAAACTTACAACCTCTGTCTGACCTGGAACTGCTGGATTTGGAAATCCAACCTTTTTGGAAAATTTAGAGCACAGTTAAGAATCCTCAGTGTGGAGAATATACCAATGCTGTTTTTGTAATGGTGATGACATCTTTAGCTGTAAAAGCTCAGCGCTGATTTCTACAAGGACGCCACTGCAGAGCGGCAACTGAACTTTACAAAGATCTGCTATAATAAATCAACGGCCGAAAATCAGCCACAGAATTCAGAAATCAGTCAATCAAGAATTCTGACTGACAAAACTATAATCCATTAATTAATTGTTCAGATGTAGAAAACTCTCAGAGCCACGTTACTGACCGGAGTGACAGCAGCGGAGTGAAAGTAGGCCGGTTCCGGCATCACGGCGGGCAGCTTCGTCCACTGAAAGGTCTGAAGGTTTATCTTCCACAAGTCTGACAGGATGAGCTCGCCGTTATAACCTCCACATATAAACACGTCTGAACGCACAAACAGGCCAAGACAAAAGGTTAAATCCAGCATTTCAGACGTGTGTGTCGTGCTAATGTTGTGTGAAAGCCTGCTTACCGTCTTTGACCTGAACACAACTGTGACACCTGCGAGCAGCAGGATAACCTGTAGTGACGAGATTTAAAATCTTATCAGAGGTCATAAAACCAACATTTGGCTTAAAAAACAGAGGAAGGAAAATGAGAACGCACCTGCTTTTTCATGGGGTTTGGTTACAATTTCTTCCCAGTAATTAGTCTCCAGGTTATATGCATGAATCTGGTGAGCAGAAATGAAATTATGAAAATACACACTTAAGTCGAATCCAAATATTTACTCATTAAAGATAAAAAAGGCAAAATGTTTACCTTCCTGTCTGACATTAAACCAGACTAAACTATACTAGAATAGGAGCAGAGGATCTTATAAAAGATGGATACTTACAATGAAGTGACTAAATTGTGAATTGTGAGGGGGAGATGGAAATGGAAAAATGAAGACAACTTAATATATCGGTCAGAAAGTTTAGGCTTAAAGAAGGAAGATGTGGAGGCAGAGCTAAACGGGAGTGTTTGAGTAGAGCAGTTAACAAACCCGACTCGGTTACATCAGTTCTGCCCGAAGGAAAGATTATTATCCAGATTATTGAGAGAAACTCAAAGCATGAAACCAAAATCATTTGACCCAAGTCATACAGTTTGAAAGGCAATGCTACCAAAAACTAAAGAAAGACTTTATTATTCTGACATTTAGCAACTAGAGTAACTCTGCTACCCCTATCTGACTCTAAAGCAAAAAAAAAAACAAAACAAAAAAATATTTAATCTAGTTTTAATGTCAGACAGTGAGGAGTTCAGGCCAAGCTTTTCACTCTTGTTCTTCTTACTTTATCTAACGGATATGACATCCATGAGGTTCCACCTCCTAAAATGTATATCCTCTGTCCGTCTTGAGCCAGCTCGTGTCTGTACCTGAAAAACAGAACTCAATCCGTCTCTATCCGCCGTAATACTCTGGACATGACGGTCAGAATAAACCCAGTGAGCGAGTATGATGAATTCACTGACCTCTCGTCGGGTAGATCTAATGGTGCGTTTTTGGGCTTGAGGTGGGTCCACTCCCTGGTGCTCAGATCCAACCGGTGCAGGTCGGTGCTGTAGAGGTAGCCCGTCGTGCCTCCAAACACGTACAGGTAGCCGTTTATAATGACCATCGCCTGGAAATAAAGCCCACCCGATGATGGATTGGTAAAAGAAAATGCCAACACTCATCACAGTGTTGAGGTCTGGACAGAAACGGTACCTGTCCATATATCTTATTTGGTTTCTTCCCCTTGCAGTTCAGCAGGTTCCACCGTCTGTACTGGACGTTGCAGACGTGGACGTCGTTGCTGTTGTTTTCACCGAAGGGAATCCCGGTGCCACCAAACACAAGCAAGTTGTTGCCGTGCAATACAGCTGAGAGACATAAACGTGATTTAACGCCGACTCTCAGAATAAAGCTGTCGCAAAATAAAACCACAGGGCAAAAACAATCTCAGAGTTTGCATATTGATACACGCCTGCCTGGTTATTTAAATCCAGCAGGCTACCAGAACCTGCAAGTCTGGAAATTACCAGAATGTAACACACATTTCCTCTCTCCTGACATATTCAGCAGCAGGCACAAAGGAAATAAGAGACACATACTTAAAGAAAATACTTTAAATAAAGACAAAATTAAGGAAGAAATGTCATTATTTAGTCAAACATCATCATAAAATATGTAGGCGGTATTTATTAGATGTTCCACATTAAATCTGATTTGAGAAAGCAAGATCATGCAAACCAGCATCTTAGTCCAATAAAGAGACAATGATTGATGGAAATATAATTTAAGAGGCGTCCAGCTGCAGTTTTCACTTAAGACTGTCTTTAATCAGAGGTTCAAAAAACTCACTAATCACACAAACCTATATTCTAAGATACTCAAATTGAAAGTACAAGAAGCTTGACTTTCATTTACAGCATATTTGTGTGCCCACACTAGCCTGCTCTTGTTTCCACATCTGTCCTTACCTGACATGGACGCCAGCTCAGTGGGCATGTAGCCCTCTGTGCGGATCTGCTGCCAGGTGGCTGTGGCGAAATGAAACCGCCAGAGTTCCCTGAAGAGAGGGTAGTCCTCATTCTCTGACCCGCCCGCCTCCTCGAAGTCGGGGTTGTAGCCTCCGAACACGTACAGGTTGGAGCTGTCTGCAACACAGCGGTGTCCACTACGGGCAGAGGGTATGCAATGCCCTGTGGGAAAAGTTTTAATCTTAACCAGCTGCAGACTCTCTCTGGATTCTTAGGGAACAGATTCTATCCGTCATCCATCTCTTTTCCCCCTGGAGTTTCAGTACCTTCTTTCAGGAACCTGTTGGGGATCCGGAGGTTGAGGCCGTTTGGGGAGAAGATGCGCCGAGCCTGAAGCCATCGTGCTCGCTTCTTGGAGCCTGAAAATAAAGAAACAAAGTCAAGAGTCAAACTTAAAAGACCTTCAGCTGACCAAAGCGCTACATGAACTACAATGCAAGTTAATAACTGGGATAATAATAATGAACAAGATCAATGTTTTTCCTCTTCAAATAGGGCGAAACAAAGTAGCACACAATTATGAAATGAAAGGAAACTGGTTCACATTTTTTTTCTTTATTCACAATTTTTACTTGGCCCTATGTTGTAGAATTGCTTTTTGTTTTAATCACAGCAGCAGACTTTGTGTGTTGTGTCAACCACTGCATTACACATGTAGAGTTGTGAGTTTTCTCATCCATTTTTCTTTGTGAAAACATCTCAAGCTCAGTCAGATGGCATTTTGCTCTACAGATCTTTTCCTGCTAAAGAAGATTTGTTGTGGGGATGGAGTATTTAGGGTGACTCACAGTTTTAGTTTTCCACCACACAGTGGTAAGCCTATAGACCAGAAAGTTGCATTTGGGTCTTGTCTGAGCATACTTGGATATTGTACTTATCCATGTTTGCAGACTGTACCCCAGCTGAGCTGTTGATCTCTGCCAGTCTCTTGGTTTGCTCTCCTTGCCTGGCCTGTCAGTTTCGGCGGACCACAATGTCTTGGGTGGTTTGAAGTAAATATGGCCAATTATTGTACCGTTTATCGCTATTGTAGTTTCATTTCGATCTTTATAAGAGTTTTTGGTTCATTGAGACAATAATAAACTCTACATGTTGAGCTTCGTAAACAAAGAGAACTAAAAAGTGTCTTTGGGATCGTTTCTATTCCTGTTTTTTTTTTACTGCTCGGTCCATAACAGCAGCAGTAAATACCAACATATTTACAAATATGATTACTTCCAATTAATGGGTGCCATTTAGCGATATTGGTTGCAGCGTTGTCCTGATCTGTTCCTTCAGCGTTTTCCCATTACACCGTCACATGCTCATGAACGTTTGATGAAAGATGAAAGTGCTAATAAAAACCTTTTGAGATGCTTCCGTAGCAGCGGTGGCTAACTCCGGCCTGTGGCTAAAGCTAACAGAATTGGGAACAAAGAAAGCTCCCATTGTGTCATCTTTATGTGCATAACCACAACATACAAAGACGCAATCAACAAAACAACTTCCCTTTGGCTTGCTGTATGTGCTACGGGCTATGCTGTTGCTAGCAACTGGTTTTGTTTACAAACCTGAATCGCGGACAGAGGGCCGCCACGACAGTTTCTCAAACTCATTGAGGTGGCTGGAGGTTCCGTTCGGTTCAAGTGACGACATTTCACTGGAGACACAAACACAGAGACGGTTCACAGTACCAAGAACTGGATCGGAACCGGACTCCCTCTCACTAAAGTCCAGGCATCGGACTGCAAGAGCCGAGCACCAGCATCCCAACAAAATAAAACCGACAGGCGCAGCTCACAGCTAACCAGCTGATGTGAACCGACCAATCAGAGGGCGAGGAGTCGTTCGTGTTGCGTTCAAGAGCCGCACGGCACACGCTGTTGGCAGTAGCAATTAATCTTTATTGAAATAATTTATTTTTGACAAATAAATGATTTCAGTTGTATTGATTGTAGAATTGTTGAAGTCATCCACGCTGGAGTGCTTCTGAGCATGAATTGTGTTTTAAAGATTGTGCTTCAACATTTTAACCTGTTCAAATTTTAACTGGGACTTTCCAAAACCTTCATTTTATTAATATTTATTTCAATCAGAGGTGGGTTTGCTGGTGTGCTTCATCACCCTGATGCGTAATCTAAGTGTAATTGCGGGTGACTGTTAAAGAAAATCTGATCAGTAACTAGACTGTGTGGATGCATCTAAAAACATAGGATTAATAAAACTCTTCTAAAATCAAACACACTCTGCTCAATATGACACCCAGAGACAGTTTTGGATTTTACAAGAGAAATTTTCACCGTTTTTCTTTTGATTGTTGATTTAGTTGTTTTTTTTAAGTTACACTAATGTCACATCCATCTTACACATTAATATTTGTGTTTTATAAAGAAAGTCATCCTTATTCTTTAAACCAGTATGTTTACAGCCTCATCCCCTGCGTTTGGACCCTTTTAACTTCTGTTTCATGACATTAAGTGTGGTTTGTAACTTTTGCACTAATGTCAAACATCATATATAAACACTTTTGTCCAAGACATCTAGAATATGTGATGAACCACCTTTAAAACAGGTAGTTTGAGGCAATGAGTGGGTTTTAGTGACTTCTTTTCATAATGCATACCAAGCATCAATCGTCCCCCAGATCCTGTGCTACTGCTCTGCTGTCATGCAGTAATCTGGATTTTGACCTTGTTAAGTAGAGTTGGAGACACAAGACAAAAAAAGCATTTCAATCCCATGCAAAATGTTTAGTATCTGATTCACATCAGGTGTGAAAATCAGGATATAGAATGGTTAAGTACAACAGAACATTTGGTTTTCTGAAGACTTTTTACCTTAAAGACGCTCTCAGGGTTTACTAAATGTAACAGTGACATAAATTACTCTGTTGACACCTATTTGGGTGGGAATTTACACATCCTTTAATACACCATTGTTCTGATTTATTGATTAGATTAAAATCACTCAGTAAAGAATCAGGGGGTCCAGACAGAATGATAATCTGGTTTCTCTCATCTCTTTACTGAATGCATCAAAGTTTTAACAGAGGAAATCTGATCTCCTAGCATGTCAAAATTGGCACACTAAGCCTCTGCACAAAGGACAGCACGCAACAGAGTGAAATGAGGTCATATTTTTAGCCGAAGATACACCAAAGACATCTTAATTACATGGAGTCATGTTTCAGCTTTTCTTCAGTACTGTTTTAAAATTTCTCTGTTTTCCATTTCAGCAGGGAAAACGAACAGTTCTGGAAAAAAAAAAGCAGGAATTTCTGAATCATTTATTTTTCTTGAACCTAAATGTGTTAGGATGTCTGCTAAAACAGAGGAAATAAAACTTGTGTGACCCACATTATCACCTCGTCTCTGACAAACAATACTTTAGATGTTTTACACAAAATATTCAACGTGACATTACACTTACTGGCAACAAAATGCAAGCTCCATTTTCATCATCCAGGAGGAATGGTTAGATTTAGATGTGATTCAGTTTATAAGCAATGGGCACATCTGGAGAGAAATGAGTGGCAGCATCACAAGAGGAGCGGTGAGTTGCAGGCAGTTCCCGGAAGAGTCAAAAGTCTGACAAAAAAGTGAATGAAGAAACAGAAAGAAGAAACAGAGGATGCCAAGGATGAGACGTCGGTATCTGTAAGATTGAATTCTCCAGCTGGACAGCAGGTTCTTTACAGTACCATACCAAACAAGATGTTTGTCAGTCCGCTCAAGAAGCCTCTGCTTCAAACATTGACCAGTTCTGACAACACTGTTCCTGCGTCAATGCTACTCTGGACAAATCCGTACCTCTGTGGCCAATGCAGATTGAAATGATCTTTAATCAATAATAAGTATTTAAACCAATACATAACATGACTATATGAAGTTATTTTTCAAGCCCGTTTCAATGTTTTTTTTTTTTATTTCAGAAATTGCTTGTTTTGATTTGCCTGTATCACTCTGGCATTAGTGCGCTCTGCATGTTGCACACATGTCCATCCCGTGTCTTGCAAACTCAAACTAAAACTCCTAACAAACTCTGCAAAGTGCTGGAAATGCTTTTCAGTTCATGTAAAAAGCCTTCTCTGTGTTTTCTGACCTTCACTGACTGCTTAGACTGACAGTCACATGCTGTGGGACACTGCCTGAACACATCACTTGACTTATGATGCCTTTGGCTTATGGGCTCTCCTGCCTGTCATTTGAAGATATTATCATGTTATCATGTCCAGATCCAAGCTGCAAATAAATCACTAAATGAGGGTTCAGTTGCTTTTTCAGTGAGGACAATTCAGCTCACAATGAGGCAGCTGAAACGTTTAAATACATGTTTTTAAAATCTCATTTCTGTCTGTATTTTAACATATTGTCAGAGATGTTCATTAATGCAAAATTATATCAACTTTGACTCTCACTCCTAAACATTGCTACACCTTAAGTACCATTTTTATTTATCCTTTTTTTTTTACTAATAAATGATTTCAAGTAATATCTGAATCAAATTAAATGTGTTATACTTCTCACACTACTCATCCTCGTTGTTTGCATTCTTTATTGTGATGAACTTTGAGATTCAGTCACTATTAAATACAACAAACTTACAAATTCTAATTACAGGTAAAAACAAACCAAACATTTTATTTTGTATACTTTTTTGTAAGCATGCAAAAATAATGATTAGCTGATTTTATACATGCAAGAAAGAGTGTAGATAATAAACTGATCACCTCCTCACATGATGATGTTTCTGCAGTATATTTCCAAAGATAACTAATTTGACACAGAATAATATATTGTCCAGCTAATGAAGTGTAAGTCTTTTCTGGACAGCTGTCACTCACAAATTTCACAAATCTTCCATAGATTTTATATCAGGTAAGTTCACAGACCAACCAAACATGCTCATTAGATGATTATAGCAGGCCTTTGTACTTTTGACAATGTTTAAAGTCGACAACAACTGCTGGAAAATGAAATCAACCTCTTCACAAAGCTTCTCAGCTGAAAGACAGTTGAAGCTCTTAAATCTCCTGGTATACTGACGTGTGGCTGTGTGCCTTTATGAGATATTATGCTCTTTTTCCAGACTCTGGGATTTGCTATTACGCCTTCTTTTCCAGTCAGTTTTTTCTTCTACTGAACTTTCCATTAAGTTTCAACAGAGAACCAGCCAGCTTCTTTAGCAATGACCTTTGTGGCTTACCGCCATCGTGGTTGGTGTTGGTAACAGCTTGTACTTCTACAGAGTCAGCAGTCTTTCTTATGATTGTAGAGACTGTACCAAAACATTTCTGCATTTAAAATAACTCCTATTGGTATTTTTATTGACTTTAATTCATAATTATTAAAATAATCAGAAATGAGTTCTTGAAAGTCTATTGGACTTTCACTTTTTAAACTGAATTTTTAAACTAAATTAACTTTTCAATTATCTTCTAATTTATTAAGATCCACCTGTAAACACCTGAATTATTCAATATCTAATCATGTTTATGATTCATGTCGTTCACGTGACAAAACTTGTGTCTAATGTGCTTATTCACAGCTCCCAATGAGGCAGTTAGAGCGCAGATCTAGGTGTACTAGAACAGCACGCACTTTGTGTTTGAGCCTCGGCTTGAGCCACCTTTCAATAAAAAATAAAGAAAAGCCACTTTTAATCCTAAGTATCGCTTCCGGTCTCTTCAGAAAAGCCACCAGCGTTGTTTCTGTAGTTGATCAGCAGTTTGCCGAAAGTGTGTGTGCACTCCCTGGGTGTATTTCTGTGCTCGAGCCCCTCCTCTGGTCGGTTTGGCCGCTGGAGGTTGATGTCGCAGGCAGAGAGTCTTCAGGACAGGACACAACTAGGTAGAGCTGGCCAGGGAGGAGGAAAAAGAAAAAAGTAGGCGATGTTGCAGCTAGGATCCTGTTTATGGACGCTGCGGGCAGGCTGCTGATAACAGTCCGGTGGCTTTGTAGGTGCTGTCAAGCTGAAAGGTTAAGGTAGTCTCGGAGCCGCAGTAGTATTTTTAGATCTCTTCTTTGAGGTACACAAAAATGTCGTCTCCAAGTCCGGGCAAGAGGCGAATGGACACCGACGTGGTGAAACTGTATCCTTTTCAACCGAATATGGTCAAATGAAGCCGACACGTCTCTTGGTGACAATTGTCAGCTGTTTGGTGGCGATTATTTACATTTGTTTGCTCGGGATGGCAGCTATGTGTTCTGTTTTTAAGTGTTTTACTTTGACGTCCCTGGCAAGGGTCTGTGTCTAACATGAGCTAACTACCACGGAAGGTGAATAAGCTGTTAATTTAGACCAATGTTTGTTGAAACAATGGAATATATGTTATTGGTATGTTGGCTATAGTCGTTCTGCTTGTTTCCACAGTGAATTAGCAACGGAAACTGTCGCAATACAACGATGGCTGTTAACTCTGTTAGCTTACAACGCTGAAGTTAGTATCCGATTTATAGCTTCTAATTCAGCACTTCAGTAAAGAGCCAGTCACTGGTTTTAGGAAACCTGGATTCACTTTAATCAGATATGGCTCAAAATCTAAATTACTTATATCAGTCTAAGTTGAACTAATTTGTTCTACCTTGGTAGCATATTATGATATATAAACACTGGGCTTTACACTCTTATTTCTACCTGTATTTGTGTTTTCATATATGGGAGAAAGGATTAGCAAATCACATGATGTGTTTTACAGTACATATAGGTATAGTCGAACATTTCAGTCCTAGTTTGACTTGTAGAAGTGTTTTTTCTTTCAAGTTGAACCCATTTTAAGACTGTCTTGTTTCAAACTAAAATATTGAAATGGGAAAAGGTTTAAACAATCCTCTTTTGTTTTCTCTCACAGAATAGAGCTTTCTTAAATCCCAAACGGCGTTTTAAAGGGTAGATGTGCTATTCACAGGTTTTACTTGTTTAAGAATGTCTGTTTTCAAACACATTTAAGTGTACTGTTAGGTTAATATTATAAAACAGTCCATAAACTATTTAAAGAATATTTTGACCGTGTAGAATAATTCAGTCAAAGTTTGACTTGTTTTAAAACTGCAGTTTTGAAGCAGGACCCATCAGAGGTGCTGTCCATGCAAAAAAAAAACTCTTATCTGTATTTTTACAGAAAACAAAATGTCCATCAACCATAATATGACCTCCACTGAATCTGTAGATTGTATAAGATTATTCAGACAGGATTTCATCATCCGAAATATTTTTGGATTTTGAATTAGATCAAAAGTAGTTCAATCTCCTTAAAAACTGTGAAATAGCCCTTTACTGTGTTGCTGAATCGAAAGACTTGAATCGCAGGCCAACTTCAGCATCCGTATTAGCTCTTAACATTGTTAGCCTCAGCTTTAAAGCGTCATGTTAACATTTTAACCAACATCTTTTCGTTCTCACTAACTGACAACACGTTATAAAGTACGAGCGAATGATTTTCTACATTTTAGAGACACTTCTTTGGGAAGACACGGGTGTTAAATCGTCATTTTTTTTAACGTTTATGTCGCAGCATTAGCTGTAGCGTGCTACCATAAGAAAAGAACAATCAAACTCGATGAAGAGTCGATTTTGATTAAAATCTTTACGCAGCTGCAGGGCCTGTATTGACTTTTCGAAACAAATGACCAGTGCTTTAGAAATGTGTCTTTTTTTCAAAAAAAAAGTGATTGGATTCATATGGTAGATTTTAATTAAAAACAAAGCAGAAATTCATATTTTTAAATAAGTGAGCGTTGGCGTGTTTACCTTAAATAATTAAGTGAAGGAAAACAAAATCTTCAAAGTTTTATTTTAAGTGTGTATAATAATGACAAAAAAAAATGAGCACGACTGTCGTTTTCATAAATATATGAATATTTGTATCCCCTCCTCATCCCCCCTGTAGCTTTTATAATCATGTTTTGTAAATAAGCTGTTGAGTATTTTTATTTATTTATTTATTCTAACACGTATTCTGGGGGATCAGCTGAAGTTGATTTGTTCCTCTTTTAAAGGTTTGGTGAAAGCGTGTGCTGAATTGTTTTGTTTTTGTCCTGCAGCTTCATGCTGCTCTCTGACTGGCCAGCTTGTTACCATCCGGAACCCGGTAGAGGGCGGGCCTTCGGCGCACAGCTGATGGGGAACAACAAGCGTGCTGTAGGGGCGCATCATGCGGGGATGGGGGCTGGGAGAATCCGTCCAGGGCAGGGACAGGACGGGGCTGCACACACTCGGCAGGATGAGTGCGCTTAGCAAGTTTTGTTTTAAAACTCTGGATGATGACCAGATACCTCTGTCAATGAAAATCGATTGATTTTCAAATGAAGCTGAAACATTCATTTTAGAGAGGGGTGGGGTGGGGGGG